AAAGGTTTCAGTTTTACTCGTGAAAGACATGGCAATATTACTCTTTACAGGAAGTGTATTCCTTGGGAGACATGTATGTCTGACAACAATAATATATATATATATATATATATATATATATATATATATATATATATATATATATATATATATATATATGGAGGGCTTGAAATGGACCTGTTGAGTGCCAGTATGGCTCCATATGCAAATCGCGTTTAGATATAGCCATCATAGGCTTAGTTACCGTATCTTGACGTTGGAAGCTAAAGGGGCAGGGTTGCAACCTCGTACGTTGTTAATTTCTAACCCTGGAGCGTGGTGGGGAGGTACGGGGCAAACGCTAACACGAAGCTCCAGCGTCCTCGTTCACTCTCCAGGGTTGTTATGCCTGCGTTGAAACGTGCTCGCATTTATACTAGCTTTAACTGTAACCTCGCGCTGACGTGGAACGACTTTGCGGCAGACGTTCGTTCTGTTTGTTTTTCGTTCTCGTACTTTCGATTGTACTTTCTCTCTCTCGCGGCCGGCCCGATGCCAGCTGGAGCTCCCTACTGCTGAATTTTCAGCACTCTACGGAGCTTTAGTAGAAAATTCAGACTGAGTGGTGTATTTTGGACACCACCTACTGATTGCCAGCGCGAGTCACGTGTTGCGCGCCTGTGCTGTGCCAACGTTCGACTGAAAGCCGTGTTCCGACTGTTTCAGTACGAGTTCCAGCAGAACGCTGAACCCGCGGCAATCGCTTCCAATATGTCAGCCATAGATGGCGTAGAAAATTTAGCACTCCGGCTTCGTTATCGAGGACGGCGTTATGTGGGGTTCGGACCGTCGGTGGTCCCAATCATCGGGGAATTTCTCGGGTGTTAATTAATAAGGGTGACACATTCTCTAACTCTGCAGAAAGACACGCTCACATTAATAGGGGAGATGAAAATAAATGGTATCGTGGGTAGTTCGTTTCTCTTTTTGCGGCGCTGCACCGAATGTTCTCTTCACTTTCAGGGCATTGCGCTTCGAAGCTGAAAAAGAAAAAAAAAAAAAAAAAAGTAGTGGAAAGTAACGTCCTCGTGTTTTGTGGGCCGCCGTCACCTGCAAACTGGGACATGGAGGCGACAGCAAACGGAGAGCTCGGCGCAAGGTCGCTGTTGGCATCGTCTCACCGCAAAACTATGCCGTTGTTGTGGAAGCGCACGGCAGCGAGTGTTGAGCGAGCGCGTATATACGCCTTGCAGTGCAGCACGCGCGCTGTTCGCCTCCGTCAGCAATTGCTGATTCAGCGCGCGCTTCCGCTGCTCTTGTTATGGCGTACAGTCCAGCCCAAACAAGCCAGGTTTCAGTGTTCGTTGCTTGAAATCGGTGCTGCTAGTTGTCTGCAGCTTTGACTGAAATCGCAGACAATCCGGTACAGAGGAGGACGATGTCGCCGGATCGCTTCCTAAAACTGCATCTAAAGATCCGGAAGGCTCATTTTTTTAAATCATCCCAACTATTGTCGGTTTCGTCCGCTATTCACAAAGCACCAAAATGGCGGCCACCATAAGATCGTGTTTCCGACGGTGATCGCGTCGTGTTGCCGACGGTGGCATTCGCTGGCGGTCATAGTTTAGTCCGTTCCTGCTCAGCGTGAGCTTACGATTAGCTTCCTCGACGCTCCTGCAGTACGTGCATTGCACACCGCCAAAGTGGTAGTCCTTCTCAGATGATAAGTAAGGGCTCGTTCTGGGCCTACGTTCATCGTGCAAAACTCGCTTTTCGGAATCTATTAATATTTCCAGGTATCTGATATCTAAGAAGCAAAGCAGTCAAGCAGCCGTAGCATCTTACCTGGCTGATCACAACTGCTCTTGCGACTAGGCCATTCGTACGTTTTGCTGTACCGCGGTACAAAGTTTGCGTCACACGTTGACCGTACAGCTAGTCCCAAGGGTTGCCATCGTGCTCGAGCCTGTAGTTGCGGTTTTGTCGTAAGCCCCCGAAAGAAACCTTTGAGGTAGGATATCTACACACCTACACAAAACATCGAGAGAAAAATAAAAGATATTTCGTATAATTCAGGGGCACCTTGTTCACTATAAGAACCGTCGTGACCCTAAAATCGAGAAAACATACCGAAATTCTACTTTAAGGGGAACTCCCCAAGGGGGAACAGATGTACGCAACAATAAATTGACTTCCATCTGAAACGGAGCGCCACTCGCGCCAGCGACTGATGCGCCTCTACAGAAAACTTACTTCAAAACTCTGTCGAGGCTCTCTTTGAGGGAAGGAGCCCCACCTCCTCATCCGTTCTGCGCGTTACGAAAAGCTCCGACCAAATAGGAAGGCTGTGCGCCGCAACAGCGCGAGACCGAAACCCCGCGTTTGCGTTTCGTCGGCGCCCGCGCGGCAGTTCGAAGACTCCTCAAACCTCGCTTCCTTCCACCCAGCGGGAGGGCGCATTCCGTTTTAGACCGGAGCCTCCGACAAACAGCGGCACCCCCCAAAATAACCGCGAACGAGCACCCCTTTCTCGCTTCTGCTCTGCTCGTCTAGAGGGCGCTCTCCGACAGCCTCTCCCCGGTGTTCAAACCCGGGTTCCCGTCGACCGCTTTCCTTTTGCGAGCTCGCGGCAGCGGGGGAGGCCGTCTCGAGACCGACGCGTCGGCGTCTTCTGCCCTCCCGTCGTCTCTCCTGCCGTTTCCACCCCCTCGTAGTGTTCGATCGTCTTTCCTTTTAGTTGTAGACTCCTTCACGCCGTGCTTCTTTTAGTCGTACTCCTCCACGTCGTGTTCACCTGTCCCGTTCGTCGCATCCCTTCTGCTGGTGACGCTTTCACGTCGTCGGGAGGTGTCGAACTTGAGCGGTGTCGGATCTTGTGCGGTGCGTATATGTGCTAAATCCGTCTCTTGGCGTTGTGTGTGTGTGCGCGCGAGGCATCGGTCGGCGAGAAACGCTGGCGCGACAAAAGGGTGCGGTGTGACGTAGTCCCCCCGTGAATTACGTGGTTGATTTGATTGGGTGCGATGGATGTAGTTGTGGGATCTTTGCTCTAGTAGTACAGAGCGAAGGGGAAATGGTTTTGTGCAAACAAGGCGTGTAGATAGTAATACCAATAATGCTTACTTTCTATCAACTGCAAGAAAACGCTCGCAAATAATTTTCGCGGCTGTTTTTCGCCTGTGCGCGGTGAGCATGTTTTTCTTCCCGAAGGCGGTCGGAATTCTGTAGTGCGTAGTAAGTAAGGAAAAAATAATTATGCGGTAGTTTTTTGTTCTTTTTTTTTTAACCTTTTTTATGAGTTTTTGCCTGCCGCTCAATCTTAGCGTATTAAGGTTTTTATGGAGAGCTCAGAGCTCGCATTATACTTCTTTGATACGAGTGCTCATGTTGCAACCACAATTTCCTCGTGCTTGAACGTATTCATGCCTTGTTCACGCTCCTTTTTTTTTTGTGTGTGTGCGCGCTTCAAACGACAGCTTGGGTGGACATGGTAACCCTGAAGCCGGGGGACAGCTTGGGTTCTTTGGCCGGGACTTTTTAACATGTTATTCTTAAGAAAATGCTTTTCTCTTTTCTTTTTTTTTTAGCTGTTGTCCTGAACATGAACCGCCTTTGTGTTTCAAGTAGGAAAAGATTGTTTACGAGTTCCTTCTAAGTTGGGACATTAGTTTCTTCAGGACCAAATCGTCTTTTCTTCTTTCTTTTTTTTTTTTAGTTGTTCGGTCATTATTAATTTTATCGGCGTTTATCTTTCCTGATTTCGAACTCGTTCATGCTCAATAGCGTAATCGACGTTCAAGATAATAAAATATAGCGTAGTAGATTTTTGCCAAACTACAAGCATAATGAACACTCTGGGAACTCACGTACACTTGCTTCACGCGCCTGCATTATTTGCGTGAAAGCTTCGAAGTGAATGCCCAAAATAAGGCATTCACGAACAAGCGCTCAAAAAATCTGTTTGCGATCGCGCGCGCGCGCGCGCCAAGTGATTTTTTGTTTTTGAACAGTTATTGAGGTTGCTTTAGACGCGAGCACGTGCAGTGCCTTTGTGGAGGGACACGCCCCCAATGATGACCGAAACCAAGAGACGCCATTGGGCGAAAAGGAGAGCTGACCAATAGCGTCTCTTTGTTTTGGTCAGCGGTGAGGGGTGTCCCTCCACCGATGGAGTTGCTTCTGGAGGCGTCATGTCGCCTCCAGAAGCTTCCGGCCTCCACGAGTCTCAGTATGCCCCTGGATGATTGGGTAATTTTTCAGAACGTGTATAGTTTAGCGCAGCAGGGTTTCTATTAATAACCGCCAATTCTACATACACAGTGTATTTGATCGCATCTCGGTTGCACGAATGTTCGTGCAGCGGTTAGCACCAGTCAAAGCCACCGACTTGCGCTTGTAGCCTTTGTGGCTAGTTTAAGTTTTTGTAATTCAAAACTTGCGTTGACTTTTCTTTTTTTATGCAAAAAATTTGCGTTTTTACGCAACTGCTTTCAAATCTAGTCTGGCTACTGTGGGTGTGGAAAGGCTTTGATTATAGGCAAATATTGCAAGCGCGTGCACGATTTAGCGAGGCTCGAAGATGAGACTATGCACGCAGACCGCAAAATGGGAGCGCCCCCAGACCGCACGTGTAGACGTGTCAGGCACGTAGTCAGGGGGGGGGGGGGGGGTCCATGGGGCGCGCCCCCCTCCCCCCCGTAATCTTCCATTTTGCTGGGACCTCCAGTCCCCCCTCCCCCTCACACAGCATTTGGTCATGGGCGCCCCCCCCCCCCCCCCCCCCTCCCCTCCCTCCCGAAACAAAATACTGGCTAAGTGCCTGAGACGTGCGTATGTATATCCCACCGTTGGCGAATTGAGACATAGCCTCCTCATTGAGAGTGCGATTTCAAGTCCCATTGTCGGGCTTCCACGCACGTGCAGCATTTATTTTGGCGGTTGAAGTTGTTTCCGCCGTTTCCCTTTCTCGATATGCGCCTCGTTTGCCCTGGCTGACGTTGCCGTGTCTGTTTGCTCCGCAGTGAGATGGAGAAGAACGGCGCCAACGCCAAGGGTTTTCTCACCGAGGCCACGTGTCCGGTGAAAGTGACCGTCAGGACCGACCCCATCGCCGACCACTACAACGTCGAGCCCAGACCCTTCGCAAGGTGAGCTTCTGCGCTGGTGCACATACCTCGTGTATAGCAACATAAAGCAACTCGGTTCCCTCGTAAGCAGCGCCTGCATTCGGACCCTTGGTCATTCCTCTGCAACGACACTCCGTTTAGTGTGCGGTGTACGGGTTAAGGTTTCGAACTGTTGGCGCCGTCCACTTGACTAAGAGTCACGGAGAGCTCTACGGAGAGAAACTGAAGGAGGGAAGGATATGAGAGCGTGCGGTGGACGTCAGAGCGCCGAGAGCCCTGATTGGAGGGACTAGTGGGTAGACGCTAAGGCCTTAGCGCCTCTCTAGCCTTCGTCTCCCTCCAATCAAAGCGAACAATGAGCGTCGTCGCCCCTCGCGCACCCGCAGGTGCATCTGACGTGTCTCCAGTCTCCGACCAAAGTTCATTGTTCTTCTCCTCTGACGAATCCTGTGAATAGGGATGCCGTTCAGTTGGACTGACCGCAACGTAAACCTTCTAGCTTCAACGAACTGGAGTTGTGCGGGCTCCGAATGCGGTCTCGCAATCGAGGCATCACGGAAGGCGGAGGACTATACGCAATTCATACAGCACAACTGAAAGCCGCTTCTATCGTACTGCTAGAAGACATCCGTCGATCGAGTGTCTCCGCGGCAGAGGCCGAGCTGGACGTCTCAAGATGGGGTGGGCTCAAAACGCCCAAGGGCAACCGCTTCTTGCTGAGTCATGGATAACGTTTCCCGGAAAAGGAAGAGAAAGCCGCTTCTTTCAAATTACGATGTCGGTACAATCTTTCCGCTCTCGTCTGACGTTTCTTTCCCCTTCTTTTCTCCAGTTTACGTTGGTTTTCAGTTTGCGGAGAGCCAGGCTTTTTCCCTCGTGACCCACTTTTAGCCTCACGCCATCCCGCCTCGGCGTCGTTCATTTACATCGCAACATTGTATGGGTGTATAATGGCCAGCCGTTTAGCCGATCCGCCAAGTCCGCTTCCTCGAATTGTGGACCTTGTGGACTCGACAAAGGTCGACGGATCGTGCCACGCGCGAGCTAAAACCACACCAGCGGCAGTTCCGGTTGGTAAGCGGGCCTCGTGCATCAAAATACTCGTTATTACGCGTGTTGCGAACTTTCGTCTGACTGCGAAGTTCGATTGGTTCAGCAAACCTTCGAACGTTTAGCAAAGTTCGACGAAGTTCGTCTTTTGGACAGTCGAACTTCAGTCAAACTTCATTCGGTCTACGGTCCAACTGCAATCGATTCACAGTCGAACTTCAGTCGAACTTAGTCAAAGTCGAACCTTGACAGGTTCGCCCAGTCCTCGTTGTCGACCTTGCCGCGCAAACCACGGTTATTTTCCGTGTGTACCCTTCGCGTGACCGTTTTCGCATTGCACTCTCCGAAACTGTGTCAAGGCAAGGCCCGTCCGTATCTTGTCAGTGACGGGGCAGTGCATCGATAGGGACGGCTCGGCGCACGAGCTCCCTGCATTTAGTGTCATCTCGGGGAAACAGGCCGGGGGCCGTAATGCAAACAGTGCCTATTCGACTTCTCTATTATGGTGGTTTATACTAACCTACGATTTGCACTACTCGACAGTAGCCTGGGATTGATACCTCGATATACGAATATTCACTGACGCGAACAAGCCAATGAGCTATTTAAGAACCGGTTCTTCTCCTCACTCTTCATTTGTTTATTTTTTTTTTTCCTGCAGTACATGCAGAACGGACTCTATCATCTCTTTCACTTTCACCATCTTCATCTCCTCAATCCTACCTCTTTCGTTTTTCTAAACTGTTGTCCCTTTCTTTTTTTTTTTTTTTTTTTACGAAGGCAACAACTTTGCTTTGCGGCCTTGCGGAGGCGTGTCAGCATCGCATTTTCTTATTGTTTGGCACTGCGCTGATTCAGAAGCAGCGCTTTCTCGCATGGGCGTATATACCGCCCTACATTACGGCCTTATTTATGCTGCAGCGTCGACCTTTGAGTTTTTTCTGCCGATCGGTTTCGGCTACATGGGGCTCGCAAGTTCAAGCACGAGAACGAAGCTCCGCGTATTAAATGCCAGGTCTGCACGAACGCTCGCTTCAAGGACTCGTGTATGTGTACCGCATTGCAGAGGATGCGGTACGCGAGCCCACAAATCCCATGCCCCTGTCTCCTCGGCGTGCGTGTAGATTATTTGCGAACGAACTCCTCGTTTCATCGCGCACTTGCGACTTTTTTTTCCGGTTCATCGATGTTTTTCGAATCATGGTCACTCAGTAAGAGAATCGTGGTAATAAAAAACTAAGCTCGCAGTAACTTTTTTTTTTCGCAATATATTTAATAATGCAGGGATTAGTTGAAACTAGCGAAATGACTACATATTGGTGGGGCATCCCCTGTAAAGTCCCTCTATAGTATAGAGGGACCTTAATCCCCTGGCGCCAGATGCGCCACCTGACGGCAGTGCGCCGACACGACGGCATCAGTGTGGGAACCCTGGGCCCGCCTTAGCAGGGATTGGCTATCAGACGATGATATAGACGCAGGAGCAAGATGGCGGCGCCCAGAGGCCGTATACTTTCGTACATCTATGTTGGAATGCATTCTAACATGCACGCTTCATACAAACAACATACGCGCATCATATAGCATACACCTCATACATCATACAGGCTTCATGCAACATGCACGCGCCTCAACATTGCAACATACAGCATACGCCGTGCGTTGGAATGCTGACGCGTGGGCAGCTTCTGCGGGTTTCGGGGAATCCGAGGCGATATGGAAGCGGGCAGGTGTTTACGGACGAGTCCATTTCTTCACACGCTATCTCGTGGCGAATTATGTTGCGGGTATAAGAATCGATTATTATTGTGTCGCCTAGTGTTTGGCGATGGAGGGACGGTGTCCTTGGAGTCGCTGTCGCACTGCGCGCACATCGTGCAAAGGACAACACGGAGTTTCTCTACAGACACGATGACAGAATTGTCATCGTGTTCGAAGCACGTTTGCCTCATACATACATGTATGCTTCGAACATCTCTGAACATTAGGACCTTTACACAATGAAGAAACACGCTTTAGACAGTGTCTGCAGACTGTCTTTTGGATGGATAGATGAAAATGACTATACACTTTGTAACGGGCGGTAGCTTGTGCCACCTAGCCTAACTTTAAAAAGACGAAAACATACAATTCGTCCTGCCCTTCTAAGCCAAGATCTGTTTTGTATGATGTATGAACAGTGTGACCGCTACTCTAGGCTGCCGCTTGTTTTTTCTCCAAAAGTCTTTTCGGTGAATGTTTCATGTTGTTCCTCGATTTTTTTTTTTTAGGTGTTTAGGAGGACATACTTGCGCTTGGCTGTAGTGGGGGAAGGGCGTTCGCCGTAAATGCCGTTTGGTTCGTCCCATTCCCGTTCGATAAGAGAAACTGTATATATACTGGCCAACGCTGTGTCTCTTTAGGACCGTTTCTCCGAGAGCCTCTTCTTTCATCTCTCTCTCGATGAGAAATCGGAGAGCGGTATTTTGCTCTCCTGTTCTCTCCCGACAGAGATAGCAAGAACGGGTCCTTGGAAAAAAGTCTGTTTCAATCGACCCGGCATGAGATCACCTCTATCAACAACAAACAAACAAAAGTTCTAAAGACTTCTAAAGAAGAAGCAAACGGAGAGAAAGGCAAAATTAGGGCGAGTGTCCTTGACCTTGGAACCGTTCGCTCGGGTTGTGCTGCGGAGATGGCTTATCGACCCTGGCCGTGGAGGCAGCGGCGGCGCCGAAAACAAATGCCGCAAACGCAAAAAAGGAAACCTAAAACTCCGTTGCTATAGCGCGCTGATAAAAAGGACGGGATAAAGTTGGTTCGGCGTTTCACGCGGAGGCCGCACGGAGCGAAATTCCGCCGTTCAGTAGGCGGTGTTACCCTGCTTCCGTTTACAGTGGACCACGGAGGACGCTATGGGCGTCATCGAAGCCAATCCAATGCCATATGAGCGTCACGTGTTCTTCGCGAGGGCGCAGCGATGCGCCGGGCGCTGCATCACGTGGTATTTCCTGGTGGGTGTTGGTAGCGTCCGTTGCGGTCCATCCTAAGGTGAAACCTGGGAGGATAGCGGGTACAACGAAGACGAGACTTTTGGGCTGTGTGCGCCACTTTGCCGTGACCTGGGTACGGATGGGTAGAGGGGTAGGGACGTGCCGAGAAGTAGAGGAGAGAACGAACGTTTCTTTTTTTTTTGTTTTCTTAGAAGTTGTCTATGGGACGCGAAGGGGGTAATCTACCTTAAAATCGAATAGTGCGAATGAGCGATGTGAGAGAGCTATTTATGTGTCTATTTTGCCGTCGGGGCGAGTGTGATGGAAGGGAGTAGAAAAATATAAACTAGGAAAACAAATACAATAGTGACTCAAAGTATTCCGTAGTTAATAAGCAACAGTGGGAACAAACTATACGATAGTTCAGAAAGATTTAAAACAAGGTATGCAGTATTGCTAAATAACAGTGGGAACAAACTAGTAGTTCAGAAATATTAGGTAATCCACAGGAAAGCATGACTCGACCTACCCTGTTGATGACTTCGCACATTTCTTTTTTGAGCGTTAAGTTTAATGAATCTTGGATTGACAGCTCTAGCCGAGCTCTTTCCAGGGTTTCCCCGGAAAACCTTCACCGACGTTTCGTTTTATTAGCTTTCAACCGACAGTTAGCTACACTGCAAGAGGAAATCGACATCGGCCTGAAGTTCTCGTCGCTTAGTCTCCGCTCTCCTCCAAGGTTGTCTGGGACGGAAATTTAGTTCCTCGTGTTTTATTTAATTTGTTTTTCGTTGAGCTCTACACGTGGATTCCTTTTCCGTTGTCGACATGGCAGATTTTTTCCCTCCAAACGATAAGAAAAAAAGAAAGAGGCGGAAGGCGATACCCATATATTCTGAATCTTGGCAGTGGGTGCTTTTAAATGTATTAAAAAGCTTTAAATATATAAAACATTTATAGGGCGATCAGTTTCGTGTTCGCGTTTGGGATGTAGCCTTA